GTGATGAAAGAAAAGGAATTTGCTGAAGTTGTTCTTGACAGTGAGGTCCTTACCCCGAGAGAGTCATTCGATATGGTGAAGTATTTTAATTCTGTGTTGAAGGTCCCAGAGGGATTTTCTGAATCCACCAGAGCTTGTTGTCAAGGAGCTGTTGGGGCGGAGACTGTTTATACTCTGTATATGCCAAAGTTTGGATCACGAAAAGCATCCAAAGAGCCGAAAAAGAGACAACCCATGGTATGTTGCAATTGTGGTGAGGCTGTGACGTCTGCACGTTTTTTGTTTTGCTCTTCTTGTGGCGCAAAGCTCGGTTAGTGTGGCGCCAACATCGCTGAGAGTAAGAGAAAGTAAGAGGAACAGTTTTCTTCTTCGTCGTGACTAAACTTTCACTGCAGTTAATTACGAAGAACTGGCAAAACCCTGCTGATCTGTTTTTTTGCAAAGAAGCAAATTTTATGAAGCAAATATCATGCTGCAACCTGTGATATCCAAGAATTTGTGAGGGACCCCTAAGGACGTTTACGCTAATTGTTGCTGCGCATCGTTACTGCGCACGCAAATTCACACGCCACGCCATGGAACAAGCGCGCTAAGTAATAAAATGAACAATGATAGGGCAGATGGCCTAAAACATGATGAAGATCTATCGATTAGAAGTTTGAATTTTTTGCGAAACGCACCATCGAATTCCGTTTTTTTTTTTTAGCTCTTTGTTTATCTGTGCGGCTCTTAAAGGATTAATCTTTGTGAAAACGTTGGTAACATTTGCCTCCGTTGACTCACTTTCGATATTTTTAACTATAAACCCTCTAGATCATGCTGAATGACGTGCGCCAATTTTTCAAATCAGGGTAGTTTTCCACATGCTTTATCTCTAAAACGAAGTCGGTGACCTCCAATTTTGTTTGCATTTCTGACACAAGTAACGCATTATCTGACTGCGGTAAAAATTTTAAAAAATCTATCGACTGGAACATTTTCGCGCGAACGTCCTTAATTTTACATGTTTGATTATTTCCTGAACAATGATCTCTGTATGAACTTGCATTCTCCTTCGCAACCCATTCTGACTTAACCTACTCCATTTTGTTCAGTTAGGGAAGAAAACATATGGATTGTAAAAAAGGATGTTGAAAAGTATCATTGTGCGTAAGTCGAAAGTTGTAAAATAGATCGAAGAGAATAAAAAATATAGGCTGATCGAGATGTGCAGAATATCTGTTGATTAACGATATAATCCTAAACAGATTCATTTTATTTCAATTCAAAGTATAATAATATTATAGGCATAATTTAATCTTTCATAGTTTTATCATGAACCCTAAGACATATGTAAGTATAGATCGTATCTTAGATTAAGAGCCACAAGTTTATTAGTGTTGTGCACTATATTAGGTGCTGCCCTCGGTAAATAAAGTGGTTATTTACCGCAAGATGTCGTGACCGAGTAGAGATTTTTGAAATTCAAGTCGACAAAATGAAATAAGTGCGTGTCAAGAATTAGGTCAACCAGTCCGTCATCGGCTGACCAGATTTAGATCAGGAAAACTGGGTAGCGGTTGGGGGTATTCTTCCGGTTATGATCCACTGGTTGTTTCGGTGAACAAGACATAAAGCTGTATTCAGTACGTCTATTTGGAAGCGAAAACAATGAATATGCTGTGACACTAAAGGTGAACGATTCCCCGCGTGGTGTTGCTCGAGCAACCAAAACAGGCACATTTATGTCTAAACTTTTCTAGAGTGAAGGAGGTGATTATCACGCCTTTGATATCATGTTTGAACATCCAATTATTTTAGAAGCTAATATCAAATACTGTTTTGAAGGTCTTATCAGTGGTCCACCTTCCTGATATGGGAGTGGTTGCCCATCTCGTATAGAGCATTCTTCTGGGTCACATTTCTTTACAGTAGCAGAACAGCGGCACGCGCTACTTCTCAAAAAGGACAATTTTCTGAATTTGAATTTACATTGAACTAACTCTCAAAACAGTTGCTCTATCATACACGAAAAAGGCCATGTCATGTTAAAGGCTACTTTTAATCACCCAGCAATGTGATGTTGTGCTTCACAGGTCTTCACACAGAAAGCAATCCCGTGAATAGCTGCGAGAAGGACTTATGAATTTGATACTTCGACCAACACATCTTATGAGAAACCTCATGTTGATCACATGTCCAAAGATGCAAAAAAAAAAAAAAAAACCCACAAATTATTCTTGCTTTCTGTACATGTCAGTTGCACAAGATATGTACTTGTGCTCAGTTAAAGATCACTGGGTTGCCAGTGCGTACCCTTGTTTTTTCAAAGCTGTATTTATATAATTCAGAGTATTAAATATAGGTGGCATTAAAGTGCCACTAACCCCCCATTTTTCGCTAATATAAGTTTCCTTTTTCTCCTGATCACCACTGCGAAAAAATTATCGTTGTAGCTATTTTCGTTAATTTTCTATGAATTTTTAAAGTTTGTAAATTTGCCCTTTTCCATGTTCACGACCGAGGAATAGCGGAGAATGGGACGAGTTGACTTTTGACGTCACTTCGGGAATAACAAAATTTTGTTTCTGAGAAGAATGTATGCGAACATGCGATAGTGTGTGTCAAAATCGTTGCAGAATGCAAGGAAGATATGTTGTTGGAGGCTGTAGCAATACAGGATGCGTAGAATAGAGAATTCCTCTTCATTCAATACCTCTATCTCGATGAAACTCTACCAGAAACGAGAAAAAGACGGTGGGCTGATCTGTGCGAAGCTAAAGCCGGGGGACCATTGAGGATTTCTTCGATCTCGGGTTCGCCGCTACTGTAAAAACCTAGAGATTTTCATGGCCTGTATATTCTTCTCTATATATAGTGGAAAGCTTGAAATTGTCAAGGTACTGCATAAGACAGGAATTTGGGATAAGCTGGAAGCCATCTGACTATTTCGGGCGCAAACGATCCTCCGAGTCCCAGACGAAACTGTAGGTGACGAAATTACACGGTAAACTAAACGCATCGCGTTTTGAAATAGAGACTTGTCTAAACGAATAATAAACGAAACCTACGTTCTGCAACGACGCGAAGAAGATTGCTGAGGCTTCGAGTTGGTGAACTAGCTATGTATCTGTGGATTTTAATAAAAACACACACACGCCGGAGGTCGCCTGTAATCTGGCCGTGTTTCTCAATGGCCATTCCGAATAC